CACACACACACACACACACACACACACACACACACACACACAAACTTCAAAAATCTATACGGAAGTGCAAATGTCCACAAATAGCCAAGATGTTCCAAGGAATAAGACATGAAGGCTTGTCAAAACATATGATACATAAATATTTTTATGTTTATATATTTACTGTGGAACCGTGGTGGCGCAGTGGTTAAGAACTTGGCTGCTAATCAAAAGGCAGGCAGTTCAAGCCCACCAGCCACTCCTTGGAAACCCTATGAGGCAGTTCTACTCTGTCCTGCAGGGTCACTGAGTTGGAATTGGCTCAATGGCAAGGGGTTTGGTTTATTTTTGGTTTTTATATATCTATTTTATAAATTAAGCTATAACATACTGTACAGTATAGTATTAGTACAGGAATACACAAAGAGATCAATGGGAAAAAAGTAGACAGTTCTGGAAAAACACACGGCAAGCACTATAGGGCAGAAACAGAAAACACAGACACGAGTTTTACCTTCCACCAAACATTCGAACATAATTCACACAAATTCTTTGGCACTGCATAAAATGGATTACCTTCCCTCCAATATCCAATCATAGGTTCACCATTTCCTTTTACAGCACTGCCAAAAATACATCTAGCATATAATATTTACGGTAAGTGTAAAGAGAAAACAGAATCACATAAAATGCTCAATTAAAACAGGAGAAGGGAGAAAAGTGTGTAAGACACAAACAGCAAAATCTAGAAAACAGTAACAAATAAGGTAGATATTAATAAAACTATATCAAAAATCACCTTATCTAAATAAAGCAATTAAAACACAAAGTATTTGGACTATGTCTTAGGCTGGGTTCTCTAAAGAAGCAAAACCAGTAAAGTATATAAATATATATATAGAGAAAAAAATAATATCAAGGAAACAGCTCACACGATTGTAGAGGCTAGAACATCCCAAGTCCGTGGAGCAGGGTAGAGGCCTCTCCCAAGTCACACAGCCGCAGAAACTGGCAAGCCCAAGATCAGCACGTCAGAGAGCAGGGCTCCTGCTCACAGGCTGTGCAGATCAAGGAATCCCAGGTTCGGCAGATAAGCTGACAGCTCAAGTCCCAAGAACGGGAGATGAGACGACAGGAAGCAGCTGCAGGATCCAGGGACAGCAAAAAGCCAGAACGTCTGCTTATATTCAGATGCAGGCCACACCCCCAAGGAGACTCCCTTTCATCTGACTGGCTACTCACAGTATATTCAATCATGGGAGTGATCACATGAAAACACTGAGAATCATGACCCAGCCAAGTTGACACACAATCTTAACCATCACAGACTACAAGAAGTCCACATTACATGTAAGAAGACACAGAAATATTAAAAAGGATGGAGAGAAACAGGACATAAGTCAGCTCTGTCCGCCAGGAAACACACACACATGCAAAAACAAGCAGAAAATGTTCAACTCTGTAAGAACTTTGGAACCAGTCAAAGGTTTACAATAACTAAGCAAACACAGAGTTAAGATAAAGGCAACTTTAAATGGTAGGAAAGCTTTGTAGAATTTTCTACTTGCCTATGCCTCAAATGCTCTCTGGTTAGGTGGCTGTCTTACAGTGGTGGCAGGCCGCAGTCCCAGAGTGGGCTAGAGAAAAACAGCTAAAGGAAAACATGGACAAAGAACTAAAGGAAAAAAATGTACAGTTTAAGTCCTCAGCTTACAAATTCTGAGTTATGGACAGCTCGTACTTAAGAAGGGCCCACAAAGCCTATTACATTAAAAATTTGAGTTAAATACAATGGTTCATAATAACACCTGCTCTACTTTGTGACTGCAGGGCTTCAGGAAGGAGAATGTTGTCCGTCATTTTAAGATGGATCATATTGCTTTTAACATTGTGCTGAGTGTGTAACTTTGTATTTGGCTTAAATTTTTCTCTCATTTACCCTTGTAACTACGTTCCCAAAGTGTAAATTCGACGCTACTGCTGGTGATGCATCAAAGAAAAAGAAAATGATCATGAATGAAAATAAAACAATCTGTATACCTACACACATTCTCTCATTCTCTTCAATACGTTACTTTTATTATTACTGTATTATCATCATCATGAGCTGCATTATGTTTAAAATGTATTAATGCATTTACAAGTGTTTCTTAAGTGCTTTATATGGACAGAAAAGTAAAATATATATTAAGACAAACATCTGACTGACGCTAAGCAAGAACTGTATGTATCTGTTCCAACTTACCTACAGATTTGACATACAGACAGACCTAGGAATGCATCTTATAACCTGGGGACTGCCTGAATTAACAAAATCAGAGGAATACCTGAGTGGTGCAAAAGATGAAGTGCTCAACTACTAGCTAAAACGTTAGCTGTTTGAACTAAGAGGCACTCAGAAGACAGGCCTGGCATACTGTTTCCAAAAGGGCACAGCCTTGACAAACCTATGGAGCAGTTGTACCACACACGAGGTCAGCAACTAACAAGAAAATGAGAATATCCATAAAAAGATATAGATTAAAAACAAACCAAATTTTGGAACTGAAAAGTACAATAACTAAATTAGCAGCTGAATAGCACATCTCAGTAGAAGAAAGAGTTGTTCTGGTTAGGTGCCCCTGAGTCAGTTCCAACACTCAGTGATCCTATGTATAACAGAACGAAACACTGCCCGGTCCTGCACCATCCTCACAATTGTTGCTATATCTGACCCCACTGTTGCAGCCACTGTGTCGGTCCATCTTGTCGGGGGTCCTCGTCTTTTTTGTGATTGTCTACCTTACCAAGCATGATGTCCTTCACCAGGAGCTGGTCCCTCCTGATAACACATCCAAAGTATGCAAGACAAAGTCTTACCATCCTTGCTTCCAAGGAGCATTCTGGCTGTACTTCTTCCAAGATAGACTGGTTCATTCTTTTGGCAGTACAAGGTATATTCAATACTCTTTGTGAATACTGTAATTCAAAAGCATTAATTCTTCAGTCTTCCTTATTCATTGTCCAACTTTCAATGCATATAAGGTGACTTAAAACACCATGTTTTGGGTCAGGAGCACATTAGTCCTCAAAGTGATATCTTTGCTTTTTAACGCTTTAAAGAGGTCTTCTGCAGATTTCCCAATGCAATATGTTGTTTGATTTCTTGACTGCTGCATCCATAGGCGCTGATGGTGGATCCAAGTAAAAGGAAATCCCCGACAGCTTCAATCTTTTCTCAGCTTATCGTGATGTTGCTCAGTGGTCCAGTTGTGAGGATTTTTGTTGTCTTTATGTTGAGGTGTAATCCATACTGAAGGCTGTAGTCTTTGATCTTCATCACTAAGTGGTTTCAGCAAACAAGGTTGTGTCACCTTAATGAGTCTTCCTCCATTTCTGATGCTGCGTCCTTCTTCATACAGTCCAGCTTTTTGGATTATGTGCTCAGCATCCAGACTGAACAAGTACGGTGAAAGGATACAATTCTGATGCATACCTTTCATGACTTTAAACCACGCAGTATCCCCATGTTGTTTGAATGACTCCTGCTGGTCTATGTACAGGTTCCTAAAGAGCACAATTAAGTGTTCTGGAATTTCCATTCTTTGTAACGTTATCCATAATTTGTTATGATCCACACAGTCGAATGCCTCTGCGTAGCCAATAAAACAGGGAAACTTCTGGTATTCTCTGCTTTCAGCCAAGATCCACCTGACATCAGCAGTGATGTCCCTCATTCCACATCCTTTACTGAATCTAGCTTGAATTTCTGGCAGTTCTCCGTCAACTTACTGCTACACTCATTTTTGAAATATCTTTAGCAAAATTTTACTTGCCTGTGATATTAATGATATTGTTCGATAATTTCACATTCTGTTGGATCATCTTTCTTTGGAATGGGCATAAAAATGGCTCCCTTCCAGTCAGTTGGTCAGGTAGCTGTCTTCCAAATTTCTCGGATAAGTGAGCACCTCCAGTGCTGCATCTTTTTGTTGAAACATCTCAATTGGTATTCTGTTAATTCCTGAAGCCTTGTTTTTCACCATTGCCTTCAGTGCAGCTTGGACTTTTTCCTTCACAATACCATCAGTTCTTGAACATGTGCTACTCCTGAAATGGTTGAATGTCAACACCAATTCTCTTGGTACTGTGACCGTGTATTCCTTATCTTCTTTTGATGCTTCCTGCATCGTTCAATATTTTGCCCAAAGAATCCTTCAAAATTGCAACTCGAAGCTTGAATTTTTTACTTCAGTTCTTTCGGCTTTACAAATGCTGAGTATGTTCTTCCCTTTTGGTTTTCTAATTCCAGGTCTTTGCATATTTCACTACAATACTTTGTTTTCTCAAGTCGCCCTTCCAAAATATTCTGTTCAGCTCTTTCACTTCATCATTTCCTCCATTCCCTTTAGCTACTCTTCATGCAAGAGCAAGTTTCAGAATCTCTTTGATATCCATTTTGGTCTTTTCTCTCCCGTCTTTTTAATGACCTTTTGCTTTCTTTGCAGCCCTGATGGCGCAATGGTTAAGAGCTCAGCTGCTAACCAAAATGTCAGTAGTTAAGAGTCCACTAGCTGCAGCATGGAAACCCTATGGGGCAGTTCTACTCTACGAGTCGGACCTGACTCGATGGCAACGAGTTTTGCTTTCATGTCCTTGATGTCATCGCACAACTTGTCTGGTGTCTGGTCACTAGTGTTCAATGTGTCAAATCTGTCCTTGAGATGATCTCTAAATTCAAGTGGGATATACTAAAGGTGGTGTTTTGTCTCTTGTGGGCTTGTTTTAATTTTTTCAGTTTCAACTTCAACTTACATTATGAGCAATTGATGGTCTGTTCTGCAGTAGGCCCCTGGCCTTGTTTCGACTGATGATACTGAGCTTTTCCATTGTCTTTCTTTCCACACGTGTAGCTGATTTGATTCTTGTGTTTTCCATCTGCTGAGTCACCTTTTACTTGCTGAGAAAGACATTTGCGATGATTAAGTCACTGGTCTTGTAAAATTCTATCGTGGGATCCCTAGTGTTGTTTCTATCACCAAGGCCATATTTTCCAAATACTAATCCTTCTTCATTTCCAACTTTAGTATTTCAATCACCAGTAAGTATAATGCATCTTGATTCCATGTTTGATCAATTTCAGACTACAGAAGTTGGTAGAAATCTTTAAATTCCTCATCTTTGGCATTAGTGGTCAGTGCAAAAATTTGAACTTGGATATACGACAGTTGAAATTACTGCCTGATGAACAGAAAAAAAGAAGCATGAAAATAGGTGAGTAAAGGCAAATGGATTTGTGGAACACCATCAAGTAGATCAACACATGCATTACAAATGTACTCAAAAGAGAAAAGAAAGGGGCAAAAACAATATTTGTAGAAATAATGGTTGAAATTGTCCCAAATTTTATGAAAGACATGAATCTGCATATCCAAAAACTCAATTAACTCCAAGATGGAATAACTTATAGAGATCCACGTTGAAAGAAATTACAATTAAGCTGTTGAAAGCCGAAGCAAAGAAAATCTTGAAAAAACCAAAAGAAGTGAAAATGAGGGATCCTCAGTAAAATTAACAGATATCCTATGGTTTCAAGGGACATCTAGATCATTTAGCATAACATAGTTCATGAAGAAAATGTTCTACATCCTTGGTGAGTAGCATCTGGGGTCTTAAAAGCTTGCGAGCACCCAGCTAAAATACGTCTATTGGTCCCATCACGTCTGGAGCAAAGGAGAATGAAGAAAACCAAAGACACAAGGAAAACACTAGTCCAAAGACCAGTGGACAACATGAACCACAGCCTCTACCAGCCTCAGCCAGGAGAACTAGATGGTGGCTGGGAATCACCACTGACCGCCTAGCAGGGATCACAATAGAGTGTCCTAGACAGAGTGGTAGAAAAAATGTAGAAAAAAATTCAAATTCACAAAAAAAAGACCAGACTTACTGGTCTCAGATAGACTGGAGGAATGCCCAAGACAATGGCCCGACATCCTGCTAACTGAGAAGTGAAGCCACTCCCCAAGTCCAACTTTCAGCCAAAGATTAGACAGGCCTATGAAACAAACAATAACAAACATGAGGAACATGTTTCTTAGTTCAATCAAGTGTATCAGACCAAATGGGCAACACCTGCGCAAAGGCAAAGACGAGAAGGCAGCCAGGGACAGGAAAACTGGAGAATGGTCACAGAGAACGCAGAGTGGAAACGGAAAGGGGGACAGTGCTGACACATTGCATGGATTGCAACCAATGTCACAAAATAATTTGTGCATACATTTTTGAATGAGAAACTAATCTGAGCTGTAAACTTCCACCTAAAACACGATAAAATTAAAGAAAAAATTAACAGGCATCACGGAGATCAGAAGGTAGTAGGATGACACATTTCAAATGCTGAAAGAAAAACAAAAAGAAAAACACCCTGTCAATCAAGAATTCTATTATCTTCCAAAACTGTCCCCTACAAATTAAGGTGAAATAAAAACATACCCAGATAAACAAAAGCTTAGACAGCTAATTCCCACTAGAATAGACTTTCTTTATAAGAATTGCTAAAGGGAGTCCTTCTGGCTGAAATGGGTGGGGGGAGGAGAAAAAAACTAGACAATACCGTGAAGCTGTATAAACAAAGATATCCAGTAAAGGCACTTATATGTGAAAATATAACAGCTAGTATTACTGTATTTTAGGTTTGTGCCTTTACTTTTTATGTTATAACCCACTGCCATCTAGTCGATTCTGACTCCTAGTAACACTGTTGGACAAAGCAGAACTGCCCCATAGGGTTTCCAAGGCTGTAAATCTATGGAAGACTGCTACATCTTTCTCCTGCGAAGCAGCTAGTGGGTTCGAACCATCAACCTTTCAGTTAGCAGCTGAGCGCTTAACCATCACACCACCAGGGCTCTTTTTTTATGTCATATGCGATTATAACAAATGCACAAAAATTATTTGTAAATTTATCTTATTTGGAACAAAATGGGTAAGGATGTACTCTGTGAGAATGAAGCCTGAGGCATGGAGATGGAGCTATGCAGAACCACAGTTTGTGTATACTATTACAGTTAAGACGGTAATAATTTAATTTCAGTCGTTCTAAATTCAGGGTCTTAAACATAATCCCCAAAGTAACCACAAAGAAAACATCTAAAAAACATATGCAAAAGGAAATGAGAAGAGAAACAAAACAAACAATGGCAGAACTGAACGGAGAAAGAGAGAGTCCTACATTCAGAGTTGGAGACTTCAACATACCACTTTCAATAATGGACAGAATACCTAGACAGAAGATCAATAAGAAAACAAGAGGATCTGAGTAACGGTATAAAACAACTAGACTTCACAGACATACAGAACACTCCACCCAACAACAGTAGTATATACATTCATCTCTAGTGCACGCGGATCATTCTCCAAGCTAGACCGTGTGTTAGGTCAAAAAACGAGTCGTGATATATTCAAATATATTGAAATCATGAACTATATCTTCTCTGACAGTAATGCAATGAAACTAAAAAGCAGTAACACAAGGAAAACAAGAAATTTCATAAATATGTGGAAATTAAACAAAACACTATTAAATAATCAGTAAGTGATAAAAAAAAATCACAACAGAAAGCAAAAACTACTTACAGACAAATAAAACAAAAGCAAAACTTACGGGATGGAGGGAACACAGTGCTTAGAGGGAAATGTAAAGCACTAAAAGCCTACATTAAAGGGATTTCTCAAATCAATAACCTAACACACACCTTGAAGAAATAGAAAAAGAGGAGTAAAATAAGCCCAAAGATACCAGAAGGACAGAAATAATAAAGACTACAGTGTAGAGAGATGAAATACAGAATAAAAACAATGACAGAATCAACAAAACAAGAACTTGGGTTTTTTTAAAGATTAAAAAAAAGTGGCAAACCTTCAGACAGACTGACCAAAGAGAGAAGAGGCAAATAACTAAAATCAGAAATGGATGTGGAGACACTGCTATGGCTCATACAGAAATGAAAAAGATTACAACAGAAAACAATGAACAATTGTATGCAAACATATTAGATAATCATCTAGATGAAATGTTAAATTCC